CGTGGTCCGCGCTGCCCCTCGCTGGCCGACGTGTTGGAGGGGCTGCAGGACGTGGAACGCTACTACCGGCACCTGTATCCTGCTGGGGGTGTCAGGGCAGCGCTGGGGGGTTGTTTTCTCCTTGTTGTCCTTATCGGCCACGAAGGTATTTGGAGAGCAAACTGCTCCTGCAGCGCCTCAGCTTGGACAGCCTGGCACACGTGGAAGCTCTCCCGCAGTCCTGGGAGAGGATTTTGGAGCGCTACAAAGAAGATGACGTGGTTCAAGGTAGCTCTGTGTAGAAAGGGCCGAGCGGTGTTTGCCAGGGCTCCGTGCTGCTGTCCCCTGGGGCCAGGCTCCGCTGTGCCGGTCCCAGCAGCACGGGGTGACCCTGCTCAGGTGATCTTTGTGACCTGCTCTGAGATCTTGGTCAGCTTCGGTTGAAAGTACCATCACACCTGGGCACAGCTGGAAGCAACATCCTCCCACAAAGTGTAGTGAGGGCTCGGTGACCTGTTCCATTGCTCAGTCAGTTTTACCCATACTTGATTTTATTGCCTTTAAAACAAGTTTTTGGGAGTACAGAACATAAAGCACGTTGAGCTGACGGGGTTGTTGTTTTCTCTGTGTCTCAGACACGCGCCTGAAGGTCTCGCTGTTTGTGGAGAACCATTGCGAGGTGAGCTGCTCACCTGGCTCCTGACAGGGACTGCTGCTTCTGGCGTGTTCTGCGATGCTGCAAGGGGCATGGAGGAATTGAGGGAGCTCTCCTGGTGCTTTTTGGAAGCTGAACAATTTGAGTCTTGGCCTCAACATAAAATACTTGAACTGTGCCATTTTCAAGTGGAAATGGCCTTGGTCTCTGAAGAAGAGGCTGAGCTGAAAAAGCCATGAGGATAGAAGGGAGTCATCTCCAGCTGTGGAACTTATAATTTCTTTCTCCTGACGTAGATGTTTTGTATCATGGAAAAAATGTTGATACTTACCTACATGAGGTGCTGCAGATGTGTGAGTGTAACAGTCCTTCAGGCTGGTGCCATGAAAGATACATGGGCTCTGTCCTTAGAAATAAAGAAAATATGTCAGATTAGTGCTTAGAAACAGCAGTCACCTCATGTCCTTGAGCAGCATTTGCATTCATCCCATCTGGGCGTGGAGGAGGAAGGAAGCAAATCTGGCTTGAAAATGTAATTATGCACAGATGCCTGAGTTCTGACACAGGCAGTTTTCAAGGGTGTTGCAATACACTGCTCTGATACCACTGAAATCAGTCTTAAAAGTCTCAGTGACACCTTTTGACAGTGACAGTTCAGTGACACCTTTTGTGGGCCATGGCACTGATACTCTGAACGTTCCTGGGAAGCAGTGGCGTGTTTGTCTCTAAATTAAATTATGTATTTGGTAAGGAGCTGCAGTTTCTCGGAGAAAGCCAATAAAGAATTGCACCGGACACGTTGTGGGTGTGTTTGTGCTCGCATTTGTGTCTTCAACCCGGGGTGTCCCTGCGGCCACCTGAGGGCACTGCATGACCCACCAGCAGCACTGCTGGGGGGTGCCAAATGTGGGAAAGTGCCTCTTCACACACAGTTCTAATTGCAGAGAAAACCCTGTTGGTCTGGTGGGGACTCACGGGACTGTACAGCCTTGTGCTCCTTACACAGGGTTTGGTTACACAGGTTACTCCAGGGTTTGGAGCGTGGGTGATGGCTCAGGGTAAATCGGGGGTGTCACCCTTGCTCAGGCCTTGGTGTATCATTGTCACAATCCAGTAGATCATGGTGAGCTTGGATGCGGAATTGTCTTTGTGTGCACTCTGTACAACACTTCAGCACCCCTCTTCTGTCAGCTTCTCTTCAGGACAGCTGCACAATGAACAAATGGATTTAAATTCTGGAAGATGTTCAGCACAGTTCAGTGGTGGCCCTTCTGCTTCTCCCAGATGCTTGGCCCCTGATGTCTGTCTTTGTGCAAACAACAGCCCTGCTAAAAGTGCTGAGGGAGCTATCTGCATTGAAAGTGGCCATGCCCTGACTCTGACTGAAATGGGGTGAAGGAGGTGCTCATTGAAGTTGGTGTGATTAATTGCTCTGTGCTGTTCCTGGTGGATGGGCCATGTCATCAGCTGCATTTGTCTGCAGCGGGGTGTGGGTGAGTCTGTGCCTCAGAGCGCTCTAATTGGGATCAGCTGTGGGTTTGTTCCATCGAAGAGCTGGGTGTCCTGTCAGGATGGCTGCCAGGGACCGCACGGTTCCTCGTGTGTTCAGGACTCCCTTCAGCTGGCATTTGCCTGGGAGTCACTGGGGGCTCGAGGCATGAGCAGAGCCAGGGTTGCCATTTAGCCTGGCAGTGTCACACGTGCCAGCAGGCAGGTGGAAAGGCCACTCCTGCTCCTCCTTGCCTGGCAGCCTGCACAGCTGAGTCAGACACCTGCTCACAGCACAGGGATGTCTGTGGTGCCAGATCTCAGCACCTTCCTGAGGACCAGGACAGGAGGGAGGTGTGTGAGAGCAGCAGCTGCTGCTCCAGCTGCCTGGGGAGCCAAATGCAGGGTCAAGGTAATGCCTTTTCCTTGGTCCTAAAATTAAGAGCCAGACACAGTTAAGGGATAAAGGGTTTTTTCCTCTTGGTATTTAATAAGAATCCTTATGGTGCACCAGTTCATCATGGTGGAGTATGCTGAAATGTACACCCAGTAAACTGCATATACAATTTTACAGATTTTGCAAATTAGTATATCTAATAAAGATGCTTTAATGAGAGGCTTGAATTAGCAGTGTGTTTTTTTCTCACCTTGAGGTATTCCATCGTGAATGGGCTTAATCCTAATTTACAGGATTTATTTTAGAGGGCCTTTGGTTTTTCAAGATAGCATAGGGCTTTCCAGCTTTCAGCTGCAAGGCCTTTAGTATGTTTGGTTTTCTGGCTTAGCAGAATACCAGGACTATGCTAAATTATCAGACTTAAGGAATTACACATATGTGTACTAAGAGCACTGAGAATTCATAAAAGGCATATAAAAGAAAGGCAAAAAATCATCATGGCATCAAGGGACTCCTGTGCCCTATCTTAGTGGAGCTGTGGGTAAGACAATACTAAGGGCTCTGAGCCCAAGTGGTAAATTACATGTAACCATAAAAATAAACCCAAGTACCTTAATTTTTGGAGTAGAGCTCTTAAAGTATTCTTGCATGGAGATCTGTCTTTGAGGAATGCAATAAATTGCAGTTGGCAGCTGGAGCTACCTTGTTAAAGGAAATTTGTCAGGAAACACAAAGCTCACGCTTTGATTTTCAGCTTTACCTCCTGCTAACTCCATTGAAAAACAGTCATTCTTCACTTACAGGAAAAGCACAAACTAAATTCAGTTACTAAATTCGAATGCCCACAAACATTTATAAGGAGCACCTGACTCGTATGTGGCTTCTTTGTTTCCTCCCACAGGCGTGAGCACTGGCTCCTGGTGCAGCGGGGCCTTTGCAGTTCTGCTTAGAAATGGGGACCTGCTGTTGGCAACACCAGACTTCCAAAACAAACTCAAAAGCTTTGCTTCAGCATAAGCTCATGGATTTGAAACAGATTTCAAAACTGGGTGTATTACAGGAGTCCACAGTTATGGAGAAGACAAAGGATTTGGCACCTGAACTGAAGTGTAAAGTGACTCGGAGGCAGAAATACGTAATAAAAAGCTTTGTGATTAATTTACTAAACCAAGCATGGGTTTCACAAGTCCCTATGGTTTTTGCACTTATTCTTTGAGGCTTTCATCTTGGCCTGAAGCAGAACTCCTTTGTGACTTTGCTGAGGGGCTGCCTGAGTACTTATCTGCTCTGAAATAGAGCAGACATTCTTCACTACCTGTTAGCTGCCTTTTTTGCTCTGTTCCCCAATCCTGGCTCAATGTTTCTCCAGTGCTTGGGACTTTTTCACAGCTTTTGCCCTGTTGAGCTCCAAGGAGGGGCAGATTCTGTGGATCTGATGGGTGTGTGGTGAGTGGGGACACATCTGGCCTGCAGCAGTGATGAGTTTCCCATGTGGGACATGCTCAGCACACAGCCCTTGTCTGCCCTTGCAAGGACAGGCACGAGCCTGGTGAGCTCTTTGCCAATGTGGACTGGCCCCAACCCTCCCCAGACCCTCTAGGGCTGCCTGTACTGCATGTGGACAGAGCCTGCCAGTCCTGCAGAGGTTTCATTTTAATCCTCCCTTCCTGCTTTTCCCCCCAACCCTTTCCCTCCTCCTCCCTACTCCTGTGGACGCAGATCTGCAGTAGGTGTCTCCTGAACTTGCTTGAGCTCCCTGTCCCAAGCATCTTCCTGACAAATTCTTTCCAGATGTCCTTTTATGTTTAGCAGTTTTCTTCAAGTTCTTCATTCATTCTTTTAAAGAGCAAAACTATTTCCCAGTATTATTTGAAAATTCAGACTGATTGTGGCTTCCCAAGAGCTGCTTGTGCCTCCCAGTGAAGTTTTAGGTACCACTGCAGCCTTCCACCCCTGAATTAGAGCACAACAGATATCCATAAATAGCACAGAAGTTTATTTTCCATAGCTGACAGCTCCAGGGCTGTTTATGGACTCTTGAAAACACTCCATGCTACATTTATACCCAGCCAAGTGTCAGGTTGTTGGCTTGGACTTTCCCAGCTACAGCAGCTTGGAGAAATTAGGAGATCTGTCCAGTGTTCCTCTGACTGGGACCAACAACGGAAAGTAAGTGGCTCTGCCCATCCTCTCATCTAGTTTCCAGCTTAACTTTGTTTTTGGGGAGATGGCTGTTCCTTCCAAAGGGATCTGACTCCCTTTGGGGAGATGCAGGGCATGTGGTCAGTGGCTCCTGCGCTGTCTGGGTGAGCTGTGTCCTGTCCTGACTGTTGGGAGTGTGCTGCCCTAGGGCAGCTCTGGGGGCTGTCTGCCACCCCAGAGCCAAATGAGACTGAATGTAGGATTGAAGCAATGCCTGAGCCACTCTGCCTCTCCAGGACAGGCTCTGGCTTGTCTGGAAGTCACATCTTGTGGCTTCTCACGTGTGTCCAGTGGCTTTTCATCCTTGCCCTGCACTCCCGTGTGGGGCTTGCAGCAGGTTTTGGCTGTTGGGAAGAAGCTTTGGGCTGTTCAGTGGAATTTGGGAAATTCCTGTCTTTTTTCTTGAATTTTAATTTGCCTCGGGATCTACCTCACATGGTACATGGTGATTGCAAAATGCCTGAAGTGGGAGAGAGACTGGACCTTCCCTGGGGTCAGATTCTTGTTATGGAACACTTCTGTGCTGTTGGCACCCCGGGGTCCAGGAGTGGGGATATGCTGGAAGGATGAACCTGCCTTGTTTTCCTGTACTGCCAACACATCAGACCACACACAAATATTAAGCATCTATTTAATTTCCCAGCAAAGCACCCTGAGATTCGGTTCCCCTCTGTCCCCCAGCATACCACAGCTGCCTCCTTCACCAGAGCTGACATGGGATGGCTCCCTGCTCTCTCTGGTCCTTCTCTCCACAGCCCAGACAGTCTCTAGGCTGCTTGGGGAAGGCAGAATGAAGACCATCAAGCCAGTAAGTCTCCTAACCATTCTGCTATGTGAGGAATGAATCCAAGAGCCTTTGCACACTATTAATCTTTTCCAGTTCTTAAGAAAGCAAATGATCTCCTCCTGCTCCCATAAATTCACCCTCTCTCTCCAGCTTCTCCCCTGGTGTTTGAACTCTTTGCCAAAAGCTTTATTAAAACCTACAAGATGCAATTTTGTTCCTTACTGAATCCTAAACAACTGCTCTAGGTGGAGAAGAGACACTTGGTGCTGTCAGCTTTAGAGCATTTTTGTGTGCAGTCCATGGCCACTTGTCAGCCAGGGACCAGCCTCAGCCCCACACTGGAGCCCAACAGGACCTTTGCTCTTCTCCCCTGAGATTGGGAGATAAATTCACGGCCTCATGTCCAAAAGCACCTGGCAACAATCCATGTGGGGGGTGGGGAGCAGAAGGGATGTTCCCCTGGCTGCAGTGTGGCCCTATGGCACCTCACCCTCCTGGGCCAATGTCTGCAGCTTGCCAGTGGCCCTGGGGACAAGCTGTGCTGGGCAGCTGCCACACCCTGGCAGTTTTCCTGCCACCTCCTCTCCTGCTCTGAGTGGGGAAACCCTCAACAAACCCTCTGCGTGTGCCCTTGGCGTGACCCGGCCAGCGGCACCACTGGGGCTGTGGGGCAGCAGGTGATGGTCCCCAGCTGCTGGTATGAGCAGAGAAGCTGCAGCTGGTGCTGGGCGGTTGTGGGTGTGCTGGGACAGCCAGGGTGAGGGTGACAGGTCCTGTGGGAGCAGGAAAGTTGAGGTGCATGCCAAAGTCCTGCTAGGTGACGTGCGTCACCACCGGTCCTTGGCACATCATGCGATGTGTCACAGCCTTCTCCCTTTCGTTTCCTAACATTCCCTCAGTCTGAAACTCATCAACCCGTGCTGAGA